TCCCGGGTGAGGGGGTGGGTGGCAGGAGAGACAGAGTGTGCACAAGTGTGTGTGTGAGGATGGGTGGGTGTTTCCTGACACAGTGCATTGTCACCACCTTCCCCCCTCACCTTAAGGCAAAAACATACAGATCTTGGAACATGTATTCAAGTCATGGGAGGTATTCCACCAAGTTTCTGCAACTCTAATTACAATTTGCTTTATATACTAGGACTTACGGTTCATACTGCTTGTTCTCCACACACTTTCCTTTTATATATATGCACTGACAATAGTTTTCAGTCTGCCCTACTGGCTTTCCTCTTGCACATCTCTATACCACATTGTGTTTTTCTTTGCACATCTCTATATCACACTGTGTTTTCCTAACCCTCTTCAAAATTATGCATCTTCTCTTGGTCTCCATCCCTTGGTATTGAGCACATCATGGCTAACTGGTTTTTATTTTTATTTTTTTTAACCTGTAGAACCTCATTAAAGCCCTTCTCACCAGGTTAGTCAAATGAGACCCAAAGATGTTTTCCTCAGTCATCATCAAATGAATTACAGTTCTGGAAAACAAATGGCTTTTCTGGAATATCTGCTGTTGTCAAAAAAATCCTATTGACACTACTTCTCAGGCACATTTACCTCATTGATGCCAGAGTCCGTGCCCTGTACTTTATCTTCAACAAGATGTACCAAGACAACCAGCACACGCACTTCAAACCCCTCTATTCTCATGCAGAGAGACTCAGTCACCTCCGATTTTGTTCAGCATCATTCCTGACAGTGACATTGGTACCCACGTGGCCACTTAGAAATGGGTAGTGCTGTAGATGAGCTCCAGTGTGCTGTCCTGAACTCAGGATCTAAGCATTAAACGTGACTCATGAGATTCCACGTCTGGATGACAGATGGATTCCTTCTTTTCTTTCAGAAGGAGTTCCCAATTCCTCTCCCCAAATCCTCTTTGGTTGTGGTGGGCATGGAATCACCACCCTTAGGGCTGTGCAAATCTTGCTTTCTGGTCTGATCACTGCCGCCTTCTCTCCAGTAGTTTCCAGGCAGAAACCTTGAAAGCCATTGCTCACTGCTTACCATTCAGAGTACACAGAAAATAGTACAGTAAAAAAGAACACAGGACTACTAAATGACATCTTTTCCATTACTAAACACATGCTGACTGAATTGAAATGTTAGTATTCAGTTCATTCTCCCATCTTGGTCTAGAGGTTTTCTTTAGGTATCTAGTTAGCCAATTTGTCAGAGATGAAAATTGGGTGCCATACACACTGTTGAAATAACTTACATTTTCCCCATCTGTAAAATACTTACTTGTTGTACTTTACAGTAGTAGTAGGACAATCACTGTGTTTAAAGAATTTAAAAAAATGAAAAAAACACTATAAAGTAATGGTTATAAAAAAGTCAGCAGTTACTATCTCATTTAACATAGACAACACTCAGACACCACTTAACAATTCTTAAGAGACCTATAAAATGCTATAGACAAGATATTATTCTTACAAATGGGATACAAAAGGGTCAAATATTACCTTTGATAAAACACTGGCTGTAGACATGGTACCTAAAATTCAAACTTCCTACAGGATTTTCTGTGGTCTTTTAACTTATTCAAGATGACAAATTACTATGAAACACAAGTAGTTAAATTTCAACCACTATTCTCCTCTCTGATCATCCACACAAATGGGCAGGTGTTGCAATACAGTTAAGTATTTACTAGCCCAGAAAATTTGCCTACCCTACTGGTTTCTCCAAAATGCCTTCTTACGGCTTATTTATGTTGCTGCATTGTCTGCAGTGTGCTGGAATCCTGAACTGTTATGCAGAATATTACAAAGACATTAACAAAACAAAGCTTTCCTCCTTAAATGACTGACAATATTTTTCCTTCAAGATTTAACTAAAATTGACTATTTTGGTCAGTCCAGGAAGAAGAATGGTCTTAAAAATAAGCAAATAGCCTAACTGTCATATGAGAAATGTAATAGATTATTTAATTTAGAATATAATTAAACCAGTCTGCCTTCTGGGTATTTGCTTGGTTACTGCTTTGGCTATGATGAAACTTGGGCACCATGTGGTAATAAGTCAGGTGTAAAGATGCAATTGCCTAATGGAAAAGTGGCTAATAAACAGTTCTTAAGACTTATGTATGGTGCTGATTTCAGCAAGGTGGAGTATCTGCTTAAGGGTGGCAAACTATTTACCTTTGATGGTATGTTGGGCCATAACCAACTTTCCAAGCTCAACATTTCTTTTTCCCTAGAGATTGCTTGTTCTGAAGCTGAAAGAGAGGTCTTGCTAGTTAGCTCTCAGTAGAAGACTTATAGTTGTCAGAGGAGATAGTGGTGTTGCTGGTTGTCTTTTTAAAATTGTTTTTCTTCAATTCAAAGGATTTATTTTCTAAGATTTTTATGGACTCTCTCTATAAAGAGTCCTGCATTTTTCACATTATGGAATATTTATATTTGGATGAATACAGTAAAAGGTATTGCACCCTGTGCAAGATGGTAACCAATCCTGCCACAAACTGAATAAAAGAAAAAATAAAATTAAGCAGCAACATACTCTTGAGCTCTGAAAGAACTCTGCCTCCAGAACAAAACAAGAGCCCCATGATAAATCCAATTCCTATCACATCACAGCAGCTCATGCAAATAAAGCTTGCTTTGAAGATCAAACCAGGAACACTTAGGAAATGGAATACATGAAGTACTTATACATGGGCACTGACAAGTTGCACAATTTCACAGCGGTGTCTGCACGTGGAAGAAAGCTGCAATAGGCATCAACGTGGTTTGATTAAATGCCTCTGATTTTGCATAAGTGTGACTTATATTCCAGAGTACCTGAACAAGCCAAACATTGCAAGTCACCATTCTATGTCAAAATGCCAGAGTGCAATCCTTCTACAGATTTACATGACTTTAAATGTGTTCAAAATCAGAATAAACTCTCAAAAATGAATAATTTCAAGAGAGAAATTGCCATTTTTGCTCCCTTCTGCTTCGTAAGTACGAATGGTGCCTACTGGATAAAACCTAAGTTAGCTAGCTTCTTCGAGTTTCAAAATATTCTTGATAAATTGATATATACTGGACAAAGGGTTTCTTCTGTTTCCTGGATCTTCCTTTATCACAAGGATTTTTGTGAAATTTTAACAAAAGGCTTACAAATAGATGTAATTCCAGAAATGTGATGCTTTTGAATGACTGCTCACTGAGGAACATAATACCCAGACTCCCAAGAAGTCACATGCATTCCTTTGTTTTGATCCAAAATTCAAGACTGTTAATTACTCCATATGTGATGAGTTAGTGGTCTTCTTCAGCATGTAGTAGACACAACACATGCCAACACAGAGATCACAACACTACTTCAAGTCTCCTCAGCAGACCCCGATTTAATATGGAGATTGATATGTTTTCCTTTGTCTCTGAGCCCGGGCACATTAGCAGTGACAATACAGGAAACCTTACAAGGCCACTGTCTGTGTTTTATATTTGTGCTATCTGGTAGCTAACAAAGCATTAAGGTCAGTTTAAAAAAAGGTTACTTTTCCCGACATACCAAAATCTGAATGTCTACGAAATTTGCAGGCCACATTAGCCCTATGCTCCTTGGATGTTGGATCTGGTGTGTGGGGTTGGTCTGCAAGCCCAAACCAGATTGGCCCCATATCCAACAGACATGACTAGGCTGGTGCAGGTGCCACATGGAAAGTTTGCTGACTGGCTCCATGCACCATGTGCAGTAGGTGAGATCACGTGGTGGGTCTTGGACTGGCCCCCATGCACAAGCAGCACCACAGACTGGTTGATACGGCTCCAGGTGCTGGATCCTGCTCTTGGGCTGGCTATTTGACACCTTTGCTTTAAGGCACAGAATAACAAGATGTGCCGATAAATATTAGAATGTATTATCCTAGTTTAACTGGAATTTTAATAATACAATAAAAACTACTGAGACTTTAAGATTTTATTATGGTCTTATATGTGTTTATATAAAACCACTAAAGCACTTGAGGGGAAAAAAAAAAAAAAAATCACACTTTCTTGTGTAGTACATAAAACTATTTTCATACTGTTTTTCTGAAAGTCTATTGTGCATTTTTTAATGGTTGTTTTACAAATGGCATATTTAAGAGTGGGAGCATGAGTTTCTACCAACTGTAATGCAGCACTGTTTCCAAAATAGGAGGTCTTGTTACAGCTAAGTTAAAGTGTGAGTGCATTGTGTAGGGAACAATGTACAGTTGTAGGGAACAATTGTAGCAGTTTGGTCATTTTAATCTCAATTTAGTGTACAATAAACTAACTGTTGTGCTTCACAAAGTGTAATCCTCTGATATAAACATTAGTTCTCATTTTGGAAAAAAAAGCACGCTCAACAAGTTAATTACCAAACATATCTAAACAGGCACTGCAGTTTTAACCTACTTGCTCTGCTCAAGGATTTTGTTACCTTTTTTTAAGACTAGCCTGACATACAAGACACATTAAGGCACAAGTGGGTGGTACAAACAAATGAATACAACTGTCCATGAAACTCGCATTCTTTTCCACACATACTAAAATATGTACCGTTTAAAGATAAAATTTCTTAAAAAAAAAAAAAAAAAA